AGCTACAAAATGCGGATGGGTTCTTGCAACTATTGAGAGCCCGTTATGAGGAGGAGGAGGAGGACCCCTATGTGGAAGACGAGCTCAGAAACCTAATGCAGAGGGGGAAGCCTATCAGAGAGCATATCCGTGAATTCAGGAGAGTCATTGGGACACTGCCTCCCCTACCAGAGCGATTGCTGGTGTATTTTTTTAGAACAAGCCTAGATAAAAGAATTTCCCAAGTGACTGCCTATCGTGACATCCCAAACCGACTCGCTGAATGGTTCCGGGTAGCGATAAAAGTCGACAGAGGGCTGCGGGCGAGTGACACGTCAAAACCACCAGAGGGAAAGGAGAGAGGCCAACCAGTCCAGGGGCCACTCAATAGACGAGAAACCCCAACATCACAGCCCTCCTACAGACCAACTGCCCCACGGAGCCCACTGAAATGCTACAGATGTGGGGGAAGCGGCCACATAGCAGCAAGATGTGGAACGCCTAGACCGGGACCCGATCCACCACCCAAAGCACGGCCGGAACGAGGGCCCAAGCGCGTCACCCACGTACTGCAGGAAGCTCCCCAAATCCCTGAGTTTTTCGCTCATCTGACCGAAACCAGAGGAATCCCAGACGAGAGAGATCAGTTCCCCGAACCCTATGACACGGAAGACGAAGGCGAGGATGACCCGATGGTGAGTGGACCCGTCCACCCTTTTCTTTTCCCCATACGCCTAACAGCCCCCAAAACAGGGGCCCAAGAGACTTTCCAAGCCCTAATAGACTCGGGTAGCACATGGTGCCTAATCAACCTACCCACAGTTCTAAAATTGGGAATCCGAGCTAAACAGCTCAAACAACCAATTCGCTTTGAGCAAGTTGATGGGTCCCTAGTGGGAGGAACGTATGCCACACATTTGACTGAACCCGTGAGACTAGAACTCGCAGATCACTGGGAGACGATCCGCTTCATAATAGCCCCAAGATGACAGAACCAGTCATATTGGGACTCTCATGGCTCGACAAATGGGGCCCAATCATTTGGTGGCAAGAGGGAACCCGCAGGCTGAGAATAGCAAAGGGGCCCCAACCCCTGCCGCCCCGACCAGAAGAATTCCCTCCCACGCTGAAACCCCAAAGCAGCCCTCCACTACAGAAGAAAACACCACCAACACAAGGGCCCCTCCCAGAAGGTGCAGCAAAACAATTGGCAGCCGCACCCACCACCGCTTGTAACGCAAACCAGATCCCAAGGGACTACCAAGACCTTGCTGGGGTATTCAGCGAGGCCGAGTGTGACATTCTGCCCCCCCACCGCGAGACCGATTGTGCCATCGAGATTATCCCAGGAGCGAAACTACCCAAACCTAAAATGTATGCTATGACGCCCTGAGAAATGCAGGAAATGCGAGACTACATAGACAAAAACTTACAAAGGGGATTTATTGAGCCAGTGAAACCAAGGGTAGCGGCGCCGGTCATGTTTAAAGAGAAAAAGGACGGCTCCATGAGACTGGTGGTCGACTTTCGAAGTATCAATGCTGTTTGCGTACACAACTTGTACCCCCTCCCCCTCATGAAAGACATGTTAGCCCACCTAGCTAAAGGGAAGGTTTTCACCAAACTAGACCTTCGAGAAGCTTATTACCGAGTACGCATAAGGGCAGGAGATGAATGGAAAACAGCATTCAACTGCCCCCTGGGTAGTTTCCAGTTTAAAGTAATGCCTTTTGGATTGCAAGGAGCCCCGGCAGTGTTCATGCAGTTAATAAACGAAGTCTTACATGAACACCTTTACAAAGGGGTCCTCGTCTACCTGGACGATATTCTTATCTACACGGAGACCATAGACGAACATATACCCCTCGTCCGCCAAGTACTGGAAAAACTGCTACGGGCAAACCTATATGTCAAACTGCCAAAATGCGATTTCCACCAATCACGGCTAGACTACCTGGGCTACCGAGTATCAAATGAGGGGATAGAGATGGACCCAGCCAAGGTCCAATCAGTTCTACAATGGCAGCCCCCTCGCACCCGCAGACAACTGCAAAGTTTTCTAGGTTTTGCGAATTTCTACAGACAATTCATCCCCTCGTTTGCGAAAATTGCCAAACCTTTGACAGACCTCCTAAAGACAGGAAGCCCAGCGATGAAACCTCGCCCGGGACAACCCCTACAGTGGGACCTGACCTGCCAACAGGCATTTGAGACGCTAAAAGGACTGTTCGCGAAAGAACCTGTCTTAAAACACCCGGATCCAGAACAGCCTTTTGTCATCCAAGCAAACGCAAGTGATGTGGCAGTAGGAGCCGTGTTACTCCAAAAGAACAACCAAGGGGATCTACAACCCTGCGCCTACACCTCCCGCAAACTCACTGATACGGAGAGGCGATGGGCAGCGTGGGAGAAGGAAGCGTTTGCAGTAAGGTGGGCCTTGTTGACCTGGCGGCACCTTCTAGAGGGAGGCCAGAAACCATTTGAAGTCTGGACTGATCATAAAAACCTAGAGGCCCTAAAAACCCCACGAAAACTGTCGCCCAGGCAAGTGCGGTGGGCACAATACTTCAATCGTTTCAATTTCGAGCTTAAGCACATCCCAGGTGGGAGAAATTTCCTGGCTGATGCCCTCTCCCGGATGCCCCAATACAACAGTGAGCGGGAGCAGGTAGTGAATGCCATCATCCCCTCCACCCAAGCTGCGGCCCAAGTGATCACCAGACGGCAACGACGTGACCAGCAAGGCCAACTTGCAAGTGACTTAACTGCAAAATTAAAAAATGAAACACTGACAGACCCCTGGTATCGGGACAATCAACATCTCTTGACAAAAAGAGATGAACTAGCATGGAGGGGGACAAAGCTCTATGTCCCACAGAGTTTACGCATCCTGATTCTCAAGAGGAGCCACGATGTTAAACCAGCAGGACACTTCGGGTTCCTAAAGACTCTGCACCTAGTACGGAGGCAGTTCTGGTGGCCACATATGAGAAAGGACGTAGACAGTTATGTAAAAAGCTGCACCATTTGTGCCACGATGAAGACAAGGCCAGGGTGCCCGCCTGGATTGTTGCAACCAGTAGCCAAGCCAACAAGACCATGGGAGGAGATTGCAATGGACTTTATAGTAGACCTACCGAGGAGCAGTGGAAATACAGTGATCTGGACTGTAATAGACTTATTCTCCAAACAGGCACACCTCATTCCTTGTAGTGGACTGCCTTCAGCCCGTCAGTTATCCAAACTGTTCCTGAAACACATTTACCGCCTACATGGAGTCCCCAGGAGAATCATTTCCGACAGAGGGGTCCAGTTCACAGCAAAGTTCTGGAGGGAGTTTCTACGGTCCATAGGTTCATCCCAAGGGCTCAGCTCAGCATTTCACCCGAGCACCAATGGGGGGGCAGAAAGACTGAACGCTATGATAGAACAGTATTTAAGATGCTACGTCAACTACCAGCAGTCCAATTGGGCAGACCTCCTATCTTTTGCGGAGGTTGCATATAATAATGCTGTCCACAGCAGCACGGGGCTAACCCCGTTCAAAATAGTGAGTGGCATGGATTTTGTTCCCATGCCAGAATACCCGAGGGAGCCCCCTTCCTCAGTCAGTTTGACCGACTGGATGGCAATGTTGAGACAAACGTGGGAAAATGTTAAGAGGGCGCTGGCAAAGGCGGCTCAATCTTATAAGGAACAAGCAGACAAGCACCGAACTCCCCAAAGACCATTTCAGCTAGGAGAGAAAGTTTACCTCTCCACCAAGTACTTGAGACTTAGACTCCCGAGCAGGAAATTGGGCCCAAAATTTATAGGACCATTTCCTATAATAAAAATAATCAACCCTGTTACAGTGCAATTGCAGTTGCCACGGCTTTTGGGGAAAATTCACCCCGTTTTTCACAGTAGCCTTCTAAAACCTGTAGTGGGGTCTACTTTAAGGCCAACGCCACGTGAACCTCCTGGGCCCCTGGTTGTTGGGGGCCAAACGCACTACGAAGTGCAGCAGATTCTTGATTCAAGATGGCACAGGGGGCGCCTTCAGTACTTAATTAAATGGAAGGGTTACCCATTGTCAGAGGCTTCCTGGGTGAAGAGCGCAAACATCCAAGCTGATCGCCTTATAGCAAAATTCCATGCAGACCACCCGGGAAAGCCGGGAGGGGGGGTGCACAGCCAGGGAGGGGCTGATGAGACTAATCTTGTTGTGTTTTCCCTATGGGATAGGTGATGTTGCAGAAGTGAAGGGAGAGAGGCCGGATGTCAGCGTTCCAAATTAGGCTTTCTTCCAGCGCTGACATAACAAGTTGAAGCAGAAAGAGCGGAAGCTTGATTTATTGCTGAGATGAACTTTTACCTAGTTTTGTATATACAGATAGGGTTTCCTGGGAGACGAGGGTGGGGGCTGCATTCCTGTGAAAAGAACGTGCCGGGATGTAGAGATGGATCTGTATGATGGCCAATGGGACGTGGGGGCTGGAGAGCGGAAGAGGAGGGGGTTGGAAGGAGGGGCCAGTTTGGCTCCAAATTTGAGTCAGAAATGTCGGATTCTGCTATGCTTAAAAATAAAATGTTTCATTAGACAGCTTGCGCTTGAGAATGAAGTTTATTCAAGATAGCACCGAAACCTGACAGCTTCGTTCTACAAAGATGTATGTTATGTTTATGATTTTTTTAAAAAAATTTCAAAAAAAAAAAAGCAACATGTCTTCTGTGGGACTCTGAATATCTTCTGGGGCTCCCTGTGCAGTGACATGGCTGGAGAAAAGCTTGTTTGTGAAAAACATAAATACATCCCTGGGTTCATAGTTTAGTACAGGGGTTCTGATTCTTCCTTTGGGATCTGTCCAAAAAGTAATGCGGAGGATCCTCATTGAACACCAAAGTAGACTTATGAGGTCCTGCAAGATACTATTTTGTCTCCAATGCTTTTTGAGGAAGGTCACCCAGACTTTCAGAGTTTGAGGCTCCGTGTGGATAACACCAAGCTTAACTTCTCTATCTTCTAATTTTCTTCCTAGATCATAGGACACTTCAGAACATCATTCATGCTCTGCTCACTACAGAGCTTGGCTGCTCTACATGGGACTGCCCTTGAAAACCACTTGGGAACTTCATGTGGTCCAGATTACAGTGGAACAGACAAGTGATAAGCATGCCTCAGTACACCCATCTTACACCTGTCCTTCATGAACTGTACTGGTTCCCCTCAGGGTAAAAACTTGGAGAATGTGAGTTCTAGCCCTACCTAATATACAAATGCAACTGGGTGACCTTGCACCAGTCATTCTCTCTCAGTCCTAGGAAGGAGGCAAGGGAAAACCATCTCTAGAACCTTTGCCAAGAAAACTGTTTAGGTATCAATCGTCAAAACCAATTTGAAGGCACACACATATAGAAAGGGAAGGGAATGGGCACAGAAGAACATAGAGTAATGGAGTCGGAAGGGACCTTTACAGAGTCTCAACATCTTTTCTGAATTGTGGTGACCGGAACTGGATGCAGTATTCCAAGTGTGGTCTTACTAAGGCTTTGTAAAGTGTTATTAAAACTTCATATGATCTACTAATGCAGCCTAGGACTGCATTGGCTTTTTTAGCTGCTGCCGCACACTGTTTTGGCTCATATTTAAGTGATTGTCCACTATGACTCCAAGATCCCTTGGACTTTTCAATTTAATTATCTTAGTTTCCACAAGCCTTCTAAATCTTAAGCCAAAATCAGATGCAAATGCTAGTCACACATCACCATTTTATTTTAATGAGTATTAGGAAGATGGGTTAGAGACTAGAGTTCCACTAAGAATCACAAATACACCATTATTTAATAGTACTAATTTTCATCAGCCCAGTAACCAGGATTCAATCACTAAAGTGGAACCATCATAAGAAGAGGTTGTTTCATAAATGACCCAGAAAAGCAATTCTAAAATCAAGTCATTCTCTCTTCTTATAAGAATCAGGCATTGAATATGAATGAGTGGTTAGAAAACTATGGAAATGGGGTGGGCAGAAAGAACTGCAACCCATTCAATAACTACTTTAAACTAAAATTTATATTGAATGATAACTCAGAAATGAACCTGTAACGGTACATAAATTAGACTTTTTCAGGTTTTTTTTCCCTATCTTTATTTTTTTCTACAAAATAGGACAAAAAAACAAAAAAAGGAAGTCTTGGGAAATCAAAATGATTCAAGAAATTGGTCAGGTCCTACAATATATGTGTAAGTGGAATAAGAAGAAAAGAATGTTAGAACTGCAGATGGAGGGAATGCAGCTCCATCACACTGAATGACTTACAAGTGAGATTGACTAGAAAGAGCCATGCTGGAAAAAATTAAAGAGAGACAAAACAAAACTAGACAAAACCTTAAAAAATTGAATTAAAAAAACAAAGGACATCCCCCCTGGTTGAACACTAACAAATCTATTACAACAAGAATAGCTTCCCCCCACCCCACCCCCTTACAAGGCAGATCCAAAATTTATAAACTTGTACGTCTATTTGCAATCCAATTGACCTGTCACACATTACATACATGAAAGAAAAACTAGTTAACAGGTTAAACAACAGCAAAGTTAACGTTTGAAGTTTAAAACACTTGGTTATTGTAGTTTACTTGTAGAAAGTCTTACATGATTTCTTATTTACCACAAATCACCCCAATCATTCTGAGTCCAGGATCAAATATCCTGGTTTGGTTCTTAATAATAAAAACTTTCCTCAGATTTTAATTAACAATTACTTCTCATTTTCAAAGTTCATAAGTTCCTGTTGTAAATATCTCTACTATGTTGCTGCCATATTAACAGGACTCTTATTGCATAAATGCCATATTTCACAAACCTGAATGTGGTATCTCAGACCGCAAGTAGACTAAGGGCAGAGGACAGATAAGCTCCTTTGAGGGTTCAACAGAGCTCTGAGGACATCTTCAAATTTCACTGGACAAATATTGGGGACACTTCCAGCTGCCCTTTAATTATTTCAAGCAAAATTGTTGGGCCACTCATTTATGGAGAACAACTTGGACCATTTTCTAGGTGTGGCCTGTTGGAATATGTTGAGATTTGAAATTCCTCTGTCAAATTTTTACATTTCTTCTGGTTGTAAGGTGCTCCTTTCTATTCAGATCAGGCTTCAAAATGATAATGTAGCACTTGGAGAGGAAGATACAGCCTAGCAGACCAGCATTGGAGGACAAGATGGAGAAGACCTGCACAGCCACCATATATTTCCCTTTGGTGCTCAGATAGGTGGGCACAAAAGTCACCCAGACACTGCAGAAGACCAGCATGCTGAAGGTGATCAGCTTGGCTTCATTGAAGGCCCCTGGAAGATTCCTGGCCAGGAAAGCTACTGTGAAACAGATGGCAGCCAGGAAGCCCATGTAGCTGAGGGTGATATAGAACATGACAACAGACCCTTCGTTGCATTGCAGGATGATCTCTCCAGGCTGGGAATGGAAGTCAGAGTCAGGATATGGTGGAGAAACTCCTAGCCAGATAGAGCAGATGATCATTTGGATTGCAGAACAAGAAAGGATGATGGCATTGGCCAAGCTCTTCCCCAACCATCTCCTCACTCGATTGCCTGGTTTTGTGGCCATGAAAGCCAGCACCACCATGATGCTTTTGGCCAAGAGAGCAGAAATGGCAACTGAGAAGATAATGCTGAAAAATGTTTGTCGGAGAAGGCAGGTGGTTTTCCTTGGTTGACCAATGAAGAGAAAAGGGGACAAGAGGCAAAGTAGGTGGGAAACCAAGAGAATGTAAGAGAGGTGCCGGTTATTGGCTTTGACAATGGGAGTTTCTCGGTATTTAATAAATATGATTAAAAGAAGAGCTGTGGTTAGGAACAGAAATAGGGCAAATGAGACCAGGATGAATCCCAGATGTTCTTCATAAGTCAAGAAGGTTATTCTTTTGGGGATACATTGGACTTGGTCCTCATTTGGATATTTGTCATTTGGACATTTGGTGCATTTTTCCATATCTGATAAAACCAAAAACAGTATTTCTATATAAGTTTCTTCACTTTTACCTTTCAAGAAATACTTATTGGGAAAACAGCTGATATGGGGACAATGTTCCAAGATACATTTCTTAACAATTCCACAGAAAAATGTTAAGATGAATATCATTTTCTTAAAAAACACATAGCTAAGATCTGTGAAATATGGGAAAGTCCTAGGAAGTGAAAGATTTCCTGTGTAATGTACAGAACCTTCATAGCAACCTAGATTATTAAAGTAATTAATGACACTTTTTAATATACTGAACTCAGAGGATGTCTCTCTCATAAAATCTAGTTGGCTCACAGAGAAAGCTAGTCCTGCTAATAATCTGGAATGACTACTTGGACCTGTGGCAATATGGGTGTAATGAAGTGCACCTGTTGTGGCCCGTCAGCGGCCTATGCAGATCGTAGCCGATTCCAGTAACGAGGAGGCTGGTGTGGTGCTGCGCCAGCAGCCTGTGCAGCTGGCACTCAAGTCGGACAGTGAGGAGGCTGGAGAAGATGTGGTGCCAGAGGCAGGGATTCAGCCAGGGCCTTCAGAAGCTCCTTTAAGTGAAGAGGACGAAGAGGAGGAGCCTCTTCTCAATGCACGGGCGCGCAGAGCTGCCAAAAGGCAGGAGTGACTCCTCAGGAGGAGGTCTCCTTGAGAGTAAGGCTTGGGGCTAATTGGCCACCCCCTTAGCCTATTTAAGGAGGAATGCTGCTTGCAGCAAGCTGTAGGGAACAACTTTAGTTCACTTTCCTTTGTGTCTGGATTGCTTCTGGGCTTTCTGCCAACTCTAGTAAGACTGTGATTACCTTATCTTAGAATTCTTGTAGGCTGTTAAGACAGTTTATTAACAGCCTTTGGTTGATAAAGACTGAGTTATTTGAGTAAAATAAGCTTGGTATAGAGTTTGTGTGTGCTGCGTTCTTTGGGGTCCGTAGCTGGGGCAGAACAGCACTCATATCAGTGGTGAGTTGCTACCAGTTCGCCCTGGTTCAGGCAAACCAACAGTGGCAGTGGTGGGAGGCTCCGCCCACCCTCCCAGACATCATCAAAAATGCTCTGCGCATGCGCAGAACCTTCTGTGCATGCGCAGAAACGCTGTGTGCTTGCGAAGCATGTGTGCGTGCCCGTGCGCTCCCAAGAGCAAACTGGTAGTGCCGGGGATTTGAAACCCACTACTGACCCATATGTGTCCACGCCACTTCACTGTTGACCAGTGATACCTTTCTAGTGATCCCCAAGAAAAGACTCATGTGGAATGCATGAGAATAATCTTTTCAAGAGGTTGACTTGAGACAGTTCTTCAAATTTCAAAGTCCTCTTATGTTCCTAGGAAAATAAAGATAGGGGATTTTGATAATAAATAGGAGAATAGTTGAGCCACAATGCCTCTTTCAACATGCACTGTCACCAAAGTGCTTTGGATTAATCCATTTCTGTAAGGTTTTCAGTGTCACCCACCTTCCTGAATGGAGATGGTTCCCTCCGGACAAGGAACACAGTCATAGCAGCAAACTGGCTCTCCTTCTCGAGCCCTCTTGACAAATCCAGGATGACATTTTTCCCCACATTTGGACTGAGGCAGAGACTAAGTAGAAAAACAAGGAATGCCGAAGAAACTATATTGAGATTCACCATTCACAGAAAATTGAGGTAGACAAGTCAAGTAGTCTTTGGGCTTCATTTAATTCAGTGTGAAGTATCACCCAACTGGATTGGCCCATCTCACTTGTTCCAGTGAAAGGGGCCTATTTCAGATCCCATCTGAAATTTTATAGTTAAATTTGTTCTTAAAGATTGATTAAGTATTATTGTGTTATATTTATTAAAATAGAACAAAACTGATGAAGGAAGAAAGTTCTCACCAATAGGTTCTAGAAAGGTTTCTTCTAGACTATGTTAAACATTGTCAATCTGTTCATGTCTGGGTTGCCTAAAAGCATCATAGACAGCATGGACCTGCTCTTTCATGGGACACTGTCCAGAGCCAGGACAAAGTGAATCTTAATTAAAAGCTTATTTCCCACTGGGACCCACAGGACCCCTTGTCAGCCTCTATGATGCTTGCTTGCTTTCGGCTGCCATAGTAACGGGAGGGAGGAGGTATAGGTATTTGGGAGGGGGGAAGTGAGCTGGGGGAGATGTCTCATGAAAGGGAGGAAAACTCTCACTGTCTTCGTAGCAGCTGCAGGGAGTGCTGATACCCACTTAAGGTCAACCCTTCTGGCATACCAGATAGATGGGACCATCTGAAGAAGCACCCCACATGACACCTTGGGGAGCTGTGGATTAGACATTCAAATTGGGTCCTTGTGGGGGAGAGATTTGGGGATGCTTTCAATATGTAATTTTTCGAGCCTATTGCCTCAGACCTTGCTTTCTTTTCGTTGCATTCAGTTCAGGCTCAGTAAAAGTACCTTTCACTACAAACACGGACTTGGGGTTTTTCATTCTTGAGTTTTGAGCAGAGGCACATCTGAAATTCATCCTGTCTTGATTCATTTTCATGAGATTCACTCTGAATATTGGCCATTGGCCAACAGAATTGCCTTC